CATAGCTTTTATTTATAAAAGCCCTCTTTATATTTCCAATCATATTTAACTAAAATTGTGTTGAGCCTTAAGGAGTGGTTATGACAAAGCTACATAATAATCAAATCATTCTTAAAAGCGAAAAATGAGATTTAATTTCACAATGAGGAAATTTAATTTTTGGACCATAAGCTATTTTACTTTATGATAAACGATTTAAAGGTAGAATCATTTACATATGGCCCCTTTGAAAGAACACCGAAAAGCAACTTAGATTTTATTATTTTTGAGTCTAAATCATGTAAATTTAGAATGTGGTACGGTGGACCAGCACTAAGATTTTTTATAATGTGATTTAATTTAAAGACTTTATGATATAAAATTTATTATAATATAGAATCATGGGGATTTAGAGATATATGCATTGAAATCTTAAATCCTTATGTGGATTTTTTAAGCGAATATGATTAACAAGGAATAATGATATGTGCTCTTATTATTATAATTATTTTTTCCACTTTAAATTTAATTTTAGTTTTTACATAAAGAATTTTCTTCTAAAATAAAATTCAATTAATTTTTAAATTTTTTATAAATGAATCAATAATAATAATCTCATTCATCATACAATATATCTATTTATCATGAAGCCTCAAGATTCGTCTAGAGATTAACCAATAACCAATTCCAATTTTCAAGAAAATTTTCAAATTCTATTTAAATATCGTTAAGAATTTGCCATTCATAGGGCAGTTGTATATTTCTCTTGAATATTTTTTCTAAGCACATTTAATTTGACCCAATAGTCACTAGACAGTAATAGGAAAAAATCCTGCCTCGAATTTTCACTAACTCTATTTAGAAGAATGGGTTAGTTAAAGTAAATTTTATTAAGATAAGAAATGAGTTATCCTATTGAATCCAAATTCTATAAAAAGTCAGAGATACTTCTTAATTATTAATTTGGCTTCTTATATTAAAAAGTACTGATAATTTATCAATTTAATTCCCTAAATAATATATGTCAATAAGTTATTAATTATTACTTATCATTTTGATTATGATATTCTTTTTAATGATATACTAGTTGGAATAACATATTTTAGTCCTTAATTTTTTATGACTTTGTGAATTAAAATATTTGAAGCTTCTTTTAATTGAAAAGAGAATTAGATGATTCAAATTTAATTCCTTTTAATTTTTACATAAATTTATTCAGAATTGTTTCGCCTTTTTCAAATTAAGTGTACTTGATGATAGCGATTATAAATTTTAATCATCCGCTATCTTCAGTTTGTGTTAAGTGATCTATGGAGATGTAAAGAATTATTTAAAATCTTGAAAAGGAATATAATTAGAATCAATTGAGTAACTTGTTTTTTTACAAAAAGACCATTATGATTAATTTCTGGAGTATTTAAAGGACGTAATTCATTTCATTAATCATAAGTATTTTGTTAATATAAATTACTTGAAAAATATTAAAACAATTTCATCAAATTTTGTTAATCATCTTGATATAAATTGATTCTTATTAGATTTTATGCATCATTTTTTATTTATGGTAGTAATATAGTTTGAATTTTGACCCCAGGAAATCAATTTTATTCAAATGATCTCAAACTTATTCAAAATTATTCTTAATTTTACACCTGAATCATTTTGTCTAAAATCCTTTTAAATTACCTATAAGAGTTCACAAATAAGCTCCTAAGAGTTCACAAATAGACTCCTCTATCTCAGCACTACGATAAATCACAAAATATCCCGAAAAAAAAATTTACCCAATAAACAAATTTATCTTCTTTAAGATTTATACAATCACACTTTTCTTATTTAATCATTAAATGGATTTCAAAATAATTGATAAAACTCAAAAAAATTGAATCTATAATTTACTATTGATACAATTCAGTCTTTTAATTCAATGAGATTTATTCTTAGTTCAATAATCATTAAATTAAATATTCTTACATATTATAAATTATCATACTCATAATTCCTTATACTTTCTTATTTGTATCTCCTTTGATCCAGAATCCCAAGTGATTAATTACTCTCCATCATCACTTAATTATCCATAAATATCCTAAGTATTAAATTCAATAGATTATTAAACTATAAAGTCACCATTTTCTTTCTTCCTGATTGTATTAATACAATTGCCATTCTTATTCACTAAGAGGCATTTAGCCTTTAAATAATATTATGGAAATAACCATTTATCAATAATTTACCCAGACTTTACAGCAATTTCCTTAGTCTTCTTATATTATTTAGTATTACTATCCATTTCAAACACATAAATATATTCTTTAAAATAAGGTTAGAATTTAAGTTAATTATCATTAATAAAACATAATCTAAATCCCACTTAATCTACTTTTATCTTTGATGTAACACTCCATTTTTTATTCAACATTTACTATTCTATTACTAATATATAAGAATTAGATGAACAAGATATCAATTTGTTTTATTGTTCATTTAAGCTTAATGAATAGACATCGTTAATATGGTCAGTTATGGTTTATTAACACAACCATTAATCCTATTTCATCCAAAATTTTATTTTTTTATCTCTGCTACCTGAGATTATTAGATCATCAATATTATTTAATTATAAACAATATATAGTATCAGAATGTCCATTCAATTTTAATTAACATTTAAATTAATTATTTCCAATCAACTACCATATTATAATT